TTGCAGCAAACCCCCGGGGGAGGGGCAGACACTAGGTGCCCTGTGGCCATCCCCAGCTGTTGTCTGGGGGCTCTGCTCACTTCCCCTTTCCTCACTTCAGTGCCCCTCCGATGCCGGCCATGCCTCACAACCTCTCTGGGCCTCAGTTTCCTCCCTGTTCCATAGGACCACCCACTCCTGCCTCCTGCCCTCCTCCTAGGGAGTGGAGTACAGAACCCTATTGAGAAGTCCCGGAGGGGTGACTGTTTAGGGTGCAGATTTATCAGGAGGCCTGAGGGCTCTCTCCCCCTCTCTTTCTGGGTCTGTCAGGAGCCAGGCAGGGTGGGGAGGCAAGGCTGGCGGTTCCCACGCCCCCGCAGCCCCGTGGTGCAGACAGGAGTGTGTGGTTTGGCCCCCCAGCGGGCGGGGCAGGAAGCCCTTCAGGTGGGGTCTGACCTTGTGGTGAGGAGAGCCGCACCATGGGGGGGGCAGGAAAAGGGGTGGTGGTTAGGGGGGCGCAGGTCACTGGGGCCAGGGGAGGGCAAAGCGTCCAGGGTTGTACCTTTAGCTGCATTAGGATTTTTGAGCTATGGAAGAACTGGCCAAACAAAATGTGGATTCTTTTCAACAAAAATATAAAATCACTGCAAGAAACTTAAAAAGGGAAATACCTCCCCACCAACAGAACCTACCTGCCCACTGTCTGCCGCCTGTGCAGGCTGCACACTTCTTGCAGGGCTCAGAGCAAGTCTGTTGTAACAGTCACACGTGACCCTCTCTAGCTTGTGTCCTCTGTCTCTGCTGGGTACAAGCCAAAGTCCACCCCCCGCTGCTCAGCCCTCCAGCCACCTTGGCTACGCTGGCCTTCCCCAGCACACAAGACCAGCAGCTCCTGCCGCAGGGCCTTTGCATAAGCTGTTCCCGAGCCTGGAATGCTTATCACCCAGCTCCTGGGGAGGGGTATTTGCTACTTTAAAATTTTTACTTATTTTTGCAGTGCTGGGGATGGAACCCAGGGCCTCACACATGCTAGGCAAGCGCTCTATCACTGAGCTACACCCCCAGCCTTATGGCTTGCTTCTCAATTTCGATTCATCGCTGCTCAAATGCTATCTTTATTTAAATTTAAGAAATTACATTCTTCTTAAGAAATACAGTAACATCCCTCTTATCACTTCTTACACCCTTCTCCTGCCTGATTCTTTAGGGTTACTCTTCTCGCCCCTCTTCTAGAATTTCTTTATGTCTTGTTTGTCCCTGACCTGAAGGTGAGCTCTGGGGGACGATGAGCCACACGGTTCTCTCCTGTGCCTCTAGCTGCATGGCACACAGTAGTTCTTCAATTAATAGGCACTAACTGACACACGCCACATGGAAAGTCAAAGAGGTGGCCCACGGGAGATGCCAGACAAAGGGTTAACACAGCAGGGGAGGCTTAAAAAATCGATAAGGAAACCATAAACGGCCCCAGAGAAAGACAAGCAAAAGAAATAAACAAGTCAGTGGCAAAAGAAGAAACCACTCAGGCCAGTAAACAGGAAATGGTTCTCAGACTCCACTACGGACCCAGAGGTCTTCAAATTTGTCTGATGTCACTTTGGCAACACAGACTTGAAAATGCAGATGTTTTGATATCTGACCTGATGCTGGACAACGGTCTGTAGGGTTCAGAAGCTGCAAAAACCAAGGACCAGAGAGGGCAACTGGCTCTGCTATGTCACACAGCAAGAGGGAACGCTGAAGCTGGGCCCGAGCTCGGCCTTTGGAGGTTCATCCCTGATGCCCTCTGGGGTGTGGGTGGGCAGGAGGGGTGGGGACACCCTGGTTCCCTGGCTAACTTATTCTGAGTCAGCATCATGAATGCAAGATCTTGAGCAAGTGTCTTAGGTTTCTGGAGCCTCAGTTTCCTCACCTGGAAAACGGAACACCCCACCTGCTGCCTCAGGTTTCTGCACCAGGCAGTGGGAGCTCAAGCTGGGGCTTTGGAAGTGTCAGGAATTAGGGACAGGCTGCAGCTGCCGCCCCCCGCCCCCCTACCACCTCGTGGAGTGGAAACTCTGAGGCTGGTTCCTCTCCCTACAGCTGTGCTCTGCTCCAAAGTGCTGGTTGCTGACCTCCCGGGAGACAGGACGGATCCTCCCACCCTGCATGGCCCCCAGGCCCCGCTGCCAGCTGGCTGCACACCCCAGCAGCAGCGAGTGGAAAAAGCCCCAGCTAGGTGGACAGGCTGTGTGGCTCTGGGCAGGTTCACCCCTCTCTGGGCCTCCCTGCCGCTCCCTCCCAGCACTCGCTGATCATATGTGATGACTTTAACCCACTTGCATGTCCATCAGCCCTGTCGAGCCCGCACCTTCGAGAGGGGCCGGTTAAAGCTGTCTGTCAGAGGGGGAAACTGAGGCTTGAAATCATGTGCTCAGGGTCACCCAACCAGGGGGCCCAAGAGACAGGAGGGATGGAGCAAGAGAAGAGACAGAGAGAGGCAGAAAAGGACACAGAGCAACAGAGATGGAGCCTGAGGGAGGGATACCAAGCCCCCAGCTGTGAGGGGGCCCCACAGACTCGGTCCCCGGGCCAAGGTCCCGACCCAGGCCAGGAATGGGGCTGTGCTTGGAGACAGCCTCTCTCACGGCGCTTGGGAGAAAATGAGGTCATTAGGGTGGCCCCAATCCAACAGGACGGGCGGACGTCCCCCAGGAGGAGGAGAGCGGTACACAGGCGCTCTGCAGAGGGAGGGCAACTCGAGGACAGGCAGACAACAGGCCAGCGGCCCAGCCTTCCTGCGGGAATTCTAGCCTCCAGCACCGGGACAGATCACCTTCGGGTGTTCAATGGTGTGCTTTGTCCTGGCGGCCCTAGCAAAGGAGAGAGACAGGAGGACACGAGGACACGGGGACCCAGAGGCAGGGCCTGGGGGGGCAGGCGGGTGGGAGGCCGGGCGTCGGCTCCTGAGTGACCCTCCCCCACGCCTTTCCCATGGAGGCTGTGCCTGGCCTCGGTTGCCTTGGCAACAGGAAGCTTCTGCCAGGAGGAAGAGGGGTCTCCCACAGCCCCTGCCCAGCCGCAGCTCAGGCCCTGCCCTCTCCCGCCCAGTGACGGAGGCCTGTTTAGTGGGGTCCCCCCTCTTGGAGGTGGAGGGCTGAGGTGTCACTGGGCAGGGTCTGCAAGGCTGGGGAGGCATGAAGGGGCCCTTGTCGGTCCCCTCCCCATCTCCTGTCCTCGAGGCAAATAAATGGCTGTGCTCAGGGAGGATCACAAGTGCTCCCAAGGGAGGGGAGGAAAACTAATATAGACCAGGGGACCCACGGGTGGGGAGGTCTCTGCGGGCCTGAGGAGGATGTGATAAGGATTAGCTCCCCTCGGAGCACTCTGTCTTCTCCTGCACAGCTCTCTAGAGCTCAAGCACACTCTGTAGCTTCCCAGTGCTGGCAGCACCCACCCCAGGCTCCCTTGAGACCCCACAATCTGGCCCTGTACCCCATTAGGAAAAAACCCTCAGCCCCCATTGTTCCACAAGGAGCCTCTATCCCTGTGCGGTCTTTAGAACCACCAGGATTCCCGCCTCCTTGTGCCCCTTTGGCTGGCCCCTTATACTTTTGCTCTGCCCTGAACAGGCCGTGGTCTCTGAGACCACTTGAAGATGCTCATGCTGTTTCCCCGCCTGGAACAGCGTGTCTCCGAATCTGGCTCTCTCTGTTTCTCTCTCTCTGTTCACCGATGTAGTTCTTGCTGGCTGTCTGTCTCACTGTCTGCCTGTGCATTTCCTGAGAATGTAGACCTTGCTGTGTCTCTCTGTTCGTAAATGCACACCCCTGGTCCATATTTGGAGAATTAACAGTGGGCGAGAAAAGCTGAATAATTCCCAAGCTGCCCTGGAACAGTGGCTTTCACAAAATTCATCAATGACTGAGAAATTCACTTCCTCTGGCAACCTACTGGGCATGTGCGGAAATGATATCACAGTCCATGGAGCCATTTTAACTGCCACTGTGATACACACCAATGTGCCTGTCCCGTCCTGCCCTGTCCTGTCCTTTCTATTCTGCTGTGAGAAACTTCTGGGGGTGATCCCCAAGGTCACAGCCAGGCCTGCTTTGCAGATCGCAGATCATCATCACCACGGTGATTCACACAAGCACAGTAGGCTTTGGAGACACCACCACTCCTGTCCTTTAAGCTCCGTCCCAGGCTGGAGGGCCCATCTTGCTGCTTGCTGCACTTCCTCCCAGCCTGGTCCTCTGCTCAGATTGCCCAGGCTCCAGGATGGGCAGCTGACAATGGCTCCCTGTGTTCCTATTCCAGGGCCTGGGACCCGGTGACCCAGGAATCCCTAAACCTGCTATGACCTGGGTTCCCTTCCTCAGTGAAATCCTGCTGGCAAAGCCCAGTGGTAGAATGGATCCCAAAAGGGCCGCTGGGGTTCCAGCAGGGACAGAGAAGCCTCTGCCACTGTTCCAAGTCATTCTCAAAGTCTCTGCGGCCCAGTTTGGGCGCCAGAGAATTAACCCAAAGTGATGCCCATACTTCCAGTGCAGCCGGAAGTGGAAATACGGTAAACAGACCCTAAGTATGCTCACTCCTGGTGCCACATGAGCAGCGTGTGGACCAGAGCAGGTGCAGCCGGACCCTAAAGTCCTCCAAAAATCTCAGGCCAGCACAGCCCAGGCTCCGGAAGCCTACAGGTCTGGGGGCCAGTCCCCACTCCCCTGGGTGGCCTGCAGAGAGACCATCCTGCCTCAGCCTCAGTCTCCCCACCTGCACCCGGTGGAATCACTGCGAGTCTAAGTGAAAAGGCGCAGCGAAGGTGGTTAGCCTGACTGGTGTTGCTGGCACGGCCTCGCCGTGAATTCCGAGCCCCGGGGGGAAGTTTTCAGCTCAGGGTTTCAGCTCTGGTCTGCAGACTTGGGGTGGTGATGGTACCCACCTCAGAGGATCCCTGTGCGCGCAGACGAGCGGGCGGAAGGGCTAAAGCCGCGTGCACAGCCACCCCCACCCCGCTCGCCCCTCCCCGGGCCCCGTCTTACCCGGGCGGGATGGAGGCGCGCGCGCTCACACTGGAGGCCGCGCGCTGGGGCCCGGGCCGGTTGAGGTTGTTCTGCCCCGGGGTGGGCGCGCCGCCGGGGGCGCTCGGGCTCCTCGGGGGTAGCGCGGGGGGTGTCGCGGGCTCGGCAGGGCCGGCGGTGGCGGCGGCGGGAGCGGCCCAGAGCGCGGCGCCGGCGAAGGTGGCGCTGGGGCGCACGGCGAGCGCGCCCGGGGGTCCTCCCGAAGGCGGCGGCGGGGGCGCGGGGGGCGCCTTGCGGCGCTGCGAGGCCAGGATGGCGTTGGAGGCGGCGCGCGTGCTGTTGACCAGCACGCACTGCTGGCACGAGCAGGGCTGGCCCGAGCTGGCGCCCACGGGCCAGGACTGCGACTTGGGGATGGAGCCCACTGTGAGCGGGTAGGCCAGGTCCAGGCGGCGGCGCAGACGGCGACGGCGACGCGTCTGGCGGTTCATCTGTGACATGCTGTTGAAGTAGATGAGGTAGCAGAAGCCCAGCGACGAGAGATCGAGCCACGGGTGCTGCTTCTCGTAGGCGTTCTGGATGGTGATGCAGATGTCCATGTCGTAGGCCGTCCACGCGCCGCCGTCGTTCTCCCACTCCCACACGATGCCCTTGCCCGGCGCTGACGACGGGTCGTAGAAGTTGCGCCGCACCGGCCGCATGGTGCCTGTGGGGAACGGGAGGTGCGTCAGGACTGGACAGGGGTGGGGCCAGCGTGGGGGAGTCGGCGGGGTCCAGGGGAGAATCAAGACTCTCAGCACAGGCCTGGGGGATCAGGGGGTCGGCACAAGGTGGAGGGTAGGGGTCCCCACCGGCAGGAGGTTCAGCCAATAATGGAGTACAGTGATCAGCAGATGGGGGACCAGGCGGAAGAGCTAGAAGGGGGCGGAGCCATTGTGGGGGTGTCAGCAAGGCTGGTGGGCCCGGGAGAGTCACCCCCAGCCCAGGGTCCCACCTGGGTGGAAGAGGGCAGGGGGCGGGGCCTGCTCAGACATGGGTTGGGGGGCCGGGGGCTCAGTGGTGACGGGGCAAGGCCACGCAGAGAGGCTCCTGGCATGCGGCTCTTCATGAATTCACTCCTGCATTCAAGACTCTATCAACCAGTGCACTTGTTCATTAGCCTATCATTCATTTATTCCAGAATTCATTCATCCATTCATTTCTCCATGCCTCCATTCTCACACTCGTCCACTGCTCTCTTCATTCATCCAATGCTTCGCCCATTCGCCCGTTCACACCTGCAGTCATGCGCTCCGCCTCTTACTCACACCCGCGTCTGTTCTCACCCTTAGCTCGCTCCTCCGTTCACGTGGATCGCCGCCACAACCTCTCCCCTCCTCCCCTGTCCCTCTCTCCAGTTGATACACTTTCCGTGTTGCCCATTTATGTGGCTCTGTCCTTCTCCTGCTACAATGTAACAGCTACAAGGGTGGGGAGCATGTTTTATTTACTGCTATAGCCCCAGCACCTGCCCACAGGATGTATTTCCTGAATGAATGAGTTCGCACTCGGACCCACTCGGGGTGGGGTTATTCTATTCCTCCAACTGTTGCTCCCTCCAAGCACTTATTTAGTTTTTTTCATTCATCTCTTTGTTCATGGGTCTCTCCTTCCACAAACACTTGCCGACTGCTGCTCTGTGAAAGGCTCCATGCTCAGTGCTCATTCCAAATCCACATAACAACTGCCAGAAAATCCTCCAGGTGGGTATGGCCCGATTCTCCCCGCTGCTGCTTCTTGTTTGCCCAAGCTTTAGGTTCTTTGAGAGCCAGGCTTCCCGGGGAACCTGAGTTACCCAGGGAGAAGCCAGGACAGGTCCAGGCTGCAGGACCCCTCAGAGCCCTCAGCTGGCGCTGGGCCGTGGGGCTGGTGCACGGAATTGCTTTGTTGGGTCCCTGTGCACCGCACCACTGCAGAAAGGAGGCTTTGGGCAAGTCCCCGAGCTCCTCGGGCCTCAGAGATGCCATGTGGGAAATGTGGGTGATGCTAATCCACATTCAGGGCTGTGGGGAGGACTCAGAGTGAGGACCTCTGGGGCGCAGGGCTGGGTAGGCAGCAGACAAACCTCAGTCGAGCCCGGATCCCTGACTTTCCAGCTCTAAGGCTTCGGTCACATGACTCAACGTCCAATAGCATCAGTTTTCTCATCTCCAAAATGGGCCCAAGCTGACCTTCCTGGGTGGAGTGTGGAGAGGATCGATCCAGATGCGCATACCCACATCCACCCCCTCCAGCTTCCTCTTCTTCCGAGGGCCAGGTGCTGCCCTGTGGAGTGCCAGCCGCTCCCCCAAACCCAGCTCAGCCAGGGCAGAGCCCTCTTCCTGCTGCTGGAACCGGCTTCGCTCAAGTCTCCCCATTCTGCTGTCCTTGCTCAGACCTGTGAACGCTGGACGCAGCCTGGACCTTGTGCCCTGTGCTGCACATCCAGTCTCTCAGCAAACCTAGCCACCTCTGCCTTCAGACACACCCGGCCCTGAGCGTCTCTCTCTGCACTCCCCCACTGGTCCACATCATTGTCTCTCTCCTGTTCGGACCTCTGCAGTTGACATGTGACTCCTTTCGGCTACAGCCCTTGCCCCACAGTCTGCTCCCACATGACAGCCAGGGTTACTGCTCAGCCCCTCCTCACACCCTTCCTCCACTCAAAATCCTCCTTGGCTTCCTCTCACTTGGAGTGAAAGCCAAAGTCCTTTTGGTGACTCGTGAAACCCCACGCCGTGTGGCCCTGTCACCTTCTCTCAGTGATCACTGCCCCCTGTCACTCACTGTACCCAGCCACTCTGGCCTCCCTACTGTTCTCCAAACATCTCAAACACCATGCAGCCCCAGGGCCTTTGCACCAGCTGTGCCTTCCGCCTGGAATATGACTTACCCATGCCCGGATATTCTCAGAATTCTTCTTCCTTTCAGGTCTGTGCTCAAACGTGGCCTCTTTGGGAACATCTCCCCAGACCAACCCTCTAAATCACCTGCCTCTCTACTGCTGCCCTCCCATCCTGTACTGTTCTTTCCCCCCGGCACTGACACTGCCTGGCACATCTGAACCTCCAGGCTTTCTATACTCGGTCTCCTCACTCATGGGACCAGGGGTTTTATCTGCTTTGCTGGCTGCAGTGCTGCCGGCACACAGTAGGTCCTCACAGTGCAGGGCCATTTCCATGGTTAAGTGCACCACCCCTGGCTCCCTGGGCCAGATCTGCTGCTGGATGGGGGGACCTAGCCCAACCCTGTGGAGGGGCCAGCTTGCCTGCCTGTGTCTCTCTCCTTACCACAGACTGTATCTGGCTGTGCCCAACAGGTCCCCACTCAGGGCGGAGCAAGCTGTCAGAAAGCCAAGGGCTACAGAGCGCTGTGCCCACGGCCCAGACCCCGACAGCCAGGGAAATGAGGGTACACACTCAGCTGTTGGTGTAAGAAGCCACTGGAAGGTGTGGGGAGGCTGCGGGGGACTCCCCAGCCCCAGAAATCAGGTCCCCGTGCTCCTGTAATGTCCCAGCCAATCACGTGCTGACTCTGCTCCCTGTATTAAGCCTCTGGGGCAGCCTCAGTGGTCCCGGATTTATCATTTTAATTGACTGTGCATATGGATTTCCTCCCCGGTGGTGGTACTTCTCCCAGGGCAGGCCTGGGAGGGGGGTTGTTAGGAGAGGAATCCTTGGATCCCTTTCTGCTTGCTCCTGTGGACTGGTCTTCCCCCCTCTCAGGGCCTAAGGTTCCCCATCTGCAAAATCGTGACCGGTGAACTTCACATCTGATCTGCAGAGTTACTGGGGAGCCACGCAGCCCCTTGGGACAGGAAGAAGGGGGAATGGGCTTCATTTGCCCACCGTGGGCGCCAACCCCTGAGCTGGGCAGGGGAGACTGCATTGGTTTTTTGGGGGGGGGGTTGGAAGGGGCAATGGAGAGAAGTGACCGAAGTGTCACAGGCTGAGTACGAATCCCAGCCCCGTGTCCTTGTCGGGGGGGGGGGACTCGTCCCTGTCCAAAGAATTGCTGGGGGACAAAATTCTCTAATGTGTGGCAAAAGTGCTTAGAGCTCTTGGCGTGTAGTAAGTGATCAGTGAATGCTGTAGTACGGCTGCTGTGTTGCACCCTCCTTCATGTGATGAACACCTATTCAACCAGCAAAGCCCTCTGTGTGCCCGTCTCCCCCAGCAGGTGCTTCTGGGCTCTGCTGCCTCAGTTGGTGCACACAGCCTTTTTATTACATGTCTCTCTTTGCGTTGTCGTTAACTTATTTTTGTTCTCAGTCTCTGTTGTTGGTTGATGACATTTGGGAGAACAAGGACCAAGTCAGACTCACATCATGTTTCCACCAGGGCCAGGAACAAAGCTGGGCACACAGGAAGCGTCTGCCATGGAAATGGGCACCTACTTGGCACCTGAGAGATCAGAGAGGAGGAGAGGGAGGGGCTGGGCCTGATGGGGGAGGGAGAGGAGGACGGGGCCATGCAGCCCACCGTGGGTCTCAGCAGCAGGGAGGGTTCCGAAAGCAGAGGCACTGGCTGGGCCTGCTGCAAAGCCCTCTGGGAGCTGGCAGGGCCGGCCAGCCCAGCATACCCTCTCCAGGGCTCTATTCACCACGTATCACTTTTCCTGCCTGTTTACTGGTAGTTATTAAAGGCTGTGTCCCTGGAGTCCTTTTGAAACCAGATTGGAACCCGGGGAGCTGGAGTAATTAGGACGGCTGCTGCCCTCCCTGCCGGGCTCTGTGCCTGCCGTGCCCACAGCTGCCCATCCGTCCACCTCTCAGGCCGAGGCTGGCCTGGACGGGACTGGGTGTGTGTGTGGGGTGGCCTGCCTGGATTTCGATCTTGAGATCTCCCAGGGAGCAGTGTGTGAGCCCTCCCTCTCCTCCGCAGTGGCCTTGGCCTAGATTCTCTACGGAACAATGGGCCAAAGAGGGGCCTGGAGGTGCCTGGAGATGGGCAGGGCCGCAGGCTGGCGGCCTGGACACAGCGCTGGTCACTCTGCCCTGTCCATGAGCAGCCCCAAGCTCTCCTGCCCTGGGGAATTGGGCTGGGCTCTCGGACCTGCCTCCCCCGTGGCAGTTAGGGACCTGTGTCAAGCACGGTCCACTTCTGAGCCTGTTTTCTGTCCTCGCCTGCTCCTTCCTCTCCCTGGTTTCTTAAGAATGTTTGGTTGAAAAATTCCAATCTCCAATCTCCGATCTCCGATCTCCGATCTCCGTCCAGCGGAGAGGTGGGAGAGGGCCTCTGGTGAGATGTCAGCTGGCGGTGGACAGCGGAGCTGGGCCCCAGAGGTGTGTGGGCGCAGCTGCTTGGGGCTGGGGGGAGGCAGGGAGGAAACAGGGAGACACAGCAGGAGTGGGGGAGAGACAGAGAGATGCCAAGCCCTGAGTGGGAGCCGGGGTGGGTACAAGGGGGCCTGGGGTCAAAGAGACAGGAGTTTGAGAGACAAAGGGAAAAGAAGGCAGGAAACCTGGTGGCCGGAGCCATCGCTGGGAGTCAGAGAGAACAGAGACCAGGCCGAGAGAGCAGTGGAGAGAGACCGTGGGGAGGACATAGCAACAGCTTAACAAAAAGCAGCATTCACTGAGCACCTACGGGCACGCCCCTGTGGGGCTCAGGGCTTTCTGTGCACTCCTTTTATGCTGACATTCTTTGGGTCACTCTCATTTTGCAGATGAGGAAACTGAGGTCCTGT